AATTAACAATTGTGACAAGTTGTATGGTCAGCATATTCTACTAATTAAAATACAAAGAGTCTAATTAACTGTTCTAATAATAAGTAGAGCCGTTCAAAATGGCGCTGGGACACAATAAACTGTATACCCTCTTATGCAGCTTTACTGTCGGCCTAAATCCAAAATCTTGTTATTCTATTAATGGCGATTGAAAACACAAAACTGCACTTCAATACTGAAAATTCAACATTTGAAATGTCTGATCCAATCAGAAAGCTTATACTTCAATTGTTTCAATAAAGATTCCAAGTATATCTCGAAAAAAAAGTATATTGCCATTTACATACATAGATTTATTTTGTCTTTATGCTTAGACACGAGAAGCCAACAGATACAAGTAGCTATAAATATAATTAAGTATTGTACCACAAACTAAAATAAAATACTCTCAAAATGCTTTCCTAATCTTTTCATATATGCAACTATTTTATAAGCATAACTCATTCTCTTAGTGTTGTTTGTGCCAGGCTTCCAATGGCATTTGCCAAATACCCGTACGTATACGTAATATATGAAACATATTCATATTTCATGCGACAATCTCTCCGCCTTGAGAAATTCTTTTAAGTTATCTTTTGGGCATTGCATTTAAATGATATGTTAAATGCCAGAAATGAAGACCTTCTGCCCATAATATGGCTGCCAAGTTGGCTTTTTCTTTGTTGCTGTAGAGGAGGGAGCCTTAAGTGAGCAGAAAACAAGCGAAATGGGATAAACGACAAAACATTAAACGGTATCTCATCAAGAAAATCGCCTTAAATATGTTTCTGCCTAATTTCCCACAATACTATGCATATATAGGAATATGTCTGTGTACGGGTGTGTGTGTGTATGTATGTGTGGTAGTTGTGTGTCCGGCATATGCATACAAAAGCAATGTAGTGTTCCGACTCCCGCAACATATGAGCAGAAGCAACAACGAGAAAAATCTAATAATTTTTTATGTATTTTCTCTCTCTTACAGTTGAATGACCACAAGGCCAGCGCTACAAAATGTGAGGAGTGATAGAGAGAGACGGCAGAGAAAGAGGGTGTGGAGAGAATGAGAATGACAGCAAATAAAAAGGTAGCGGCCAGCAGAACGACAAAGCAAACGAAACGAACGAGGAAGCTGTCGGTAAAAAAAATGAGAAATGAAATTTGGTGCGGAGCGCAATGGCAAATAAATGAAGCAACAGAATCATTTTGTTGGGGAAATTACGTGGTGGCCCAAGAAGAACAACAACACCAACAACAACAGCAACAAGCAAATGATACTAGAAGCGGCAAGAAAATGTCTAACCATGCAAAAAACTAAATGAAGAGACAAACACACACACACACGTGAATAAAAAGAGAGAACGAAAAGAAAATGAAGCGACAAAAGATTAACAAGCAAACTTGATATTGCCAAAATAAATCAAAAGGCAGCAAGAGTTAAAAGAAGAAAAAACTGCATAAAGAATAAGAAGGCAAAAACGTAATAACAGTGCCAAAAATAGAACCTAGGAAGTCAGAAGGCACAAGCAAAACAAACCAGAAAAAAGGGTTAATTTAAAGAGAGGGTAGTCCCAGCTTTAAAAAATCAGCAACGGCTAATAAACGGTTTCACGAATTATTCAAGTAGTTGTAGAATATTGACAATCTTAAGCCTTTCATCTAGCTTGTTCCCCAAATTTGTACTTAAAGGCGCGTGTTGTTCGTGCAATTTGATGCCAATTTATTTACCCTGTACATGCCACACGAAGTACACTAGTATACTAATATATACATATTTATGTATACACCTAGTTATATACATTTTAATTTCGCACGCGCCAGCTGCTTAAGCTGATTAATGGCAGGCAGGCAACAGCAATAGCAATAGCAATAGCAATAGCAATAGGAGCAAGAGAGACTGTCAATCAAGGCCGCCAAGTCAGTCAGATACATAACTGGGCAAGGCAATGGCAGGTAGTCGCAAGCAAAAACAACAACAGCAACGACAACAACAAAGACAGCTACTTAGTTATCAAGAGCGACTTTAGCTGGCAGGCAATTAAAGTAAATGGCTTTAAAATAGCTTCAACATATCGAGCAGTGAAATTTTGCACGAGCATAGCATTTGACGCTTTCACAGTTGATTTGCTTTAAATAACGATTTCTGTAATTTCTTGGAAACATGACGAAAGCTACAATCAATCCATTTGATGTTTAATTTATAAGTAGAGTTACTCTGCTATCATTTAGCGATGAAAACAAACAGATTTCCCACTAATACTTTTACTTTCAATATTTCATTTGCTTGGCTTTTGGGTACAAAGATACAAACAGATTATTCAATTGAGTTTTATTTTCATATCCAACTTTTAATAAAAGCTTAAGAAAATGTAAATATTCTTAAAAGAGAATTTTTTATGGAAAATGCCCCGAAACATATGTTATTTCTAACATGGGCTTTAATGTGGCTGTTTATTTTAATGTCATAAAAATGTACTTACTTGTTTATGAAAGATTATTGTTTTGATGGTCTACTTAAATGATATTTTTGCATGCTTGAATTAAAATCATACTTCAATCAAAATCATATAAAACATATTTATAGCTGAAATGCAAAGGGAAACAGTATGTCATAGAACGAATATATATTATGCTTTTACATTGCCTCGCATTACATCACTCCATTTTAATATTCTAATTTCTTCATCGCATATAAAACTTTTCAGTTGGGAACTTTTAATAAATAGCTGTTTTAATTGTTCAGTTAAACGTTTCACAATACTTTTTATTACAAGAACTTGTCTGTGCACAGCGATATTCGTTTTTATGGCTCTTAATATACATATGTGTAGGCCGGATACTTGATTAATTCATCTGGCCAAGTCTAAAAGACTGCGTCACTTTTATCTCTGTCGCCAAAAAGAAAAACAAAATATTCGCTTTAATTACCTCCCAAATCTCAAGAATTGAGAAGGCCAGCAAAATTGAACAAATAACAATAATAATAAAATGCAATAAATGACACGAAAATGAAGAAATTAAATAAGTTTTCAATAAGACGTCCGAAACTAAAACGGAGGCGAGCAAAAATATAAAAATGACGCTCATGTGGATGAGTAGCGGCGGAACTTACGCCCACACAGCGTGAAGGCCTTCGACGAAGATGGAAGATGAAAAGTAGACTGGAAGAGGACGGGGGGAATCCATTTGAGTTTCTGCCAAACTAAATAAATAAATAGTTTGCGTTGACTTTTGGCGGCCAGTGGCAGAGAAATTGGCCAAATTCTATATGCCTTATACTAGATATCCATACTCGTATATATGTATATATGTATGTGTGTTCTATATATTAGCTACATACATATGTATACGAGGCACTCAGTATGGCCAGTCACGTTTTCATCAACAACATTTTGGCTTAGTTTTCGTTAATATTATTTGCTATTTTTCTTTACTTGTATTTATTTATTTTCGCTTGGCGTTTCAGTTCGTTCGCTTCGAGTGCAGAAGGCAAATATTGCGCATACGCCCGGTGTAGCCTTGGGTGACTGCCCCACTGCTCAAATCAATAAGCTGCTCGCTGCGATGGCCTCCAAAATACACAAATCGCCGTTTGTCCAGCTTGCTGTATAAATAAAAACAAAAACCAATAGCAACAAAAGCAGAAGCAGCAGCAGCAGCAGAAACAACAATAACAATACAGCCAAGCAATACAGAAATTACAAAATTTGCTGCGGCATACTTTTAGGAAATTGGGCTAGCTCTTGAGCAAAGCCAATAAAATGTTCAGCAGTTTCTTGTAGGGCCAAAGATTTGCCCGAAAAATCAAATAAAATTCATAGCCTAACACCACCCTCCTCCACCCCACAACAAACAACAAAACAATTTGATTGAAAATCTACAAAAATTGGCTCAAAATTTTCCATATTTTGTTTTTATCTCGCTTCAGCTTCCACTTACACTTCATTTAACTTGGCAACTATGTATCTGAGTTAACTTCTTTTAGCATACTTTTGGGCGTTGCCGCCCTACTCTTGCAGCTTCCATAGACATTTCAAAAGTTGCCAATCTAATTGAAAATTGTTACACAATCTGTTGCTGTAACCGAAGATGCACACATGGGCGTTTTTAAGTACACCATCCAGACTTCAAGGCAGATGAAACGAAATTATTTCAAAGCTGAAATGGTATATCTACTTATAATTTTATGCTCGTGTACTCGACTTCCTATCAATTGCTCTTACCTTTATATTAACAGACGAGCGAAGCTCGAATGTGAGAATTTATTGCATGAGAATGGTTGTAGGTAGGAAATATTTCACAACATTAGGGTCACGTGTCAAATAATATTTGCGTCGAATGCCTGATGATGTTACCTTTTCGATAGATAAATAAATACGTTTTAAGTTACAACCAAATAAATGTCAAATTTTTCTTTACCACACAAATAATTTCGATGGGATATTAAAAAAATAAGTGAATGAAACATTTAAGCAATTTGTATAAAAGCGTTAAAACATGAAGTAAAACATGATTAATAAATCAATCAAAGCCAAAGAACTTATTTATACTATTAAGGAAAAAAAAATTATAATGAAATTAAAAAATAACTTGAAGGAATAAATATAGATAAATAATAAGTAATACGAAAAAACAAAAAAAAAGCTCAACTATAAATATAATATAATATAATATAAATATAATATGTAAAGATCAAACAATGATCAATTTAACCAAATTAAAAAAATTAGTAAACACAATATTTTAAAACATAACAAAAATAACTATTTTCGAATGTTTTCATGATTATTATTCAACTTATATAATAAATAAACGTGATAAACGTGAACATAAGAAAAAATAACAAATCATAAAAAAATAAACTCAGAAATAAAATCAAATAAAATATCTCAAAATCCTAATTTCGAATATTTTCAAGATTACTCATTAAATACTTCATTAAATATATTTTTATTAATTATGTTTTCTTACATTTTTTACAGCGTGACGGCAATTATTAATATCGTTGAAATTCAATACCAAAGATGTAAACCACAATACATTAACAACAGAAACGTGCTTATGATGGCAGAATAAAAATGGATGCATGCAATAGAAATGAAGAATTGTAAACAAATTTTAAAATTAAATATAAACATAAATAAATAAATGCCAAAGCAAACAGACATTACAACCCAAATTGAGGAAGCAACAAGGCTACAATAACAGCAACTATATAGCAACAAGTACAGTACACACACACACAAAACGAACTCCAAGACGACGACGACGAGAACGACGACGAACAGACTTAAACACACTCGACCCAAGACGCCAATACAATCAGACCCCGCACCCTCAGCACCGACACCCCTCCTTTTGAATGTGTGTGAGTGCGAGTGCATTAAAAAAACTGAGAAAAACAATATTATAACAGAACCCTCCTTGAAAAAGGAAACATCACTTGTCAACATTGCGGCGAGCTACGTGTGCGGAAAATTTTCAACAACATTGGCAACATGTTGCTGAGACGCTTACAACAACAACGACGACAACACAGCCCTACGCCGCCGCTAATCGGATTTACAAGCGGCCGAACGTGGCTACTTTTGCTCTTCCTGTCATTCATCTGTCATGCCGGCGCACAAATAGGTAAGTCCCGATAGTTTTCAATTATCCCCGACTCCCACAAACATAAGTATAGTATATATTTGTTACATATTTCGAATTCAAATTGAATCGGAGAGTGTTTGGGGGAGGAGGAAGCTCGCTGTGTGCTCAATTATAATTGCCACATTCGAAATTGAAATCATTAATTATGTATGCACAAATCGTCAACAAAATAACATAAATTATATGGAACATGAATCGCAGCTGTTTCCATTACAAACAAGGGTGCACACGAGTATGTTTGGCCAGAAGCTCCACTATTCAATACCACCCAAAACTTGTTAAACAATATTGCCTTCTATGACTTCATAGCTTGAATAAAAAACGACTGTGGGCTTTACTTTGTAACGCGCTTGTTAAAATCAGGCTGATTTTTTTTCAGAAATAATAAGAAACCTAAAAACGACAGTTATGGGGAAATAAGATTTGAGAATGTTGATTTTTGTACAGGGTGCGCCTTCTTTTATGTCGGTATGTAAACATTGAATATCTTTGAAAATAAACAACCGATTTTCAAGTATGAGATATTTTTATTTAATTTGGTTCTGTACAATTTCTTGAACTGAGGTTTTCAACACTGGTCTACTCAAGTCAATCGGTTCACTAATGACAAAGTTATTCAATATTTACATATTGACATAAAAGATGGCGCACCCTGTATAGAACTTTTTGTGTCTAATATCGAATAAATAAATCATTTTTGCACAAGATTTGACGAAATTTCGTTGTTGGTTAAGGTCTAAGGAACCTTTTTAGTTTTAGTCTTACAACACGTATTAGTTAGTTAGATATTAGCTTTGTCCTATCCTGCTCCATAAAATACTCTATATATATGTAGTACACATACATATGTATAATTTGGCACTAGTGTGTCATGTAATTAAAATCGATTAAATATATTAAAACAAACACCTTTCGAATTCAAATTTCTAGCCCTACTTGTGATCCATTTGTGTGCAAATTATTTGTTTGTGAGAACACCCCCTACCACTAATCTTTTTCAAATGTCGAAGAGCTATGAAGTCATATCAATAATTAATTTATTGTGTTTTTTCGTGCAGTAATCATGTTGTAGCATGCAAATTTTGAAATCATACCGCCCATACTTCAAATAATAATGAACACACAGTTGGCAATATTTGTCGTACATTGTGATTTTGCGGTTGCGAGCAAATGCATTAATTATGCATTTACACTCAAATATTATGCATTAAGTATTTTGAGAGGAAAGCCGTCGCCCTCGGCCTGCTCTCGCCTTCGCCCAAGCCCACACAAATTCGTTTACAGTCACGGCCCTAATGAACAAAATGCAGTTAATGCCGCTTTTGTTTTTCCCGCATTTTAATTATGTTGTTCCATGCACATTTTGGCAACAGAGTTGCAAATGTTTTGGACATTCATGTTTTGGCAGCCGCAAATGAGTTGCCTTTGTTCCATGCCCCAAAAATGTGCGCAGACTATGAAATCGTAACGAGCTTCCATGGCAACAAGTGCAACATGAGTTCTCAATAGAAATAAGCATGTTTTTTAAAACCATGCTTACTAGGGACCAACTAAGTTAATGATGTGCCATGTGGCTTAGAAAGGAATTGTTTTTTTTTTATACGTTAACAGCATGCAGTTGCCACAAAAATATACGATTCGTAATGAAGATACATATTAAAAACAAATACACAACATTGATGATAATGTTTGGCACAAAATAATTATAAAAGTATTAGTAGCATTCTGGCAGAGGTCCTCCATAAACAAGCATTCGAAAAACATGGTCACACATTTTGTACAAAACGAAAACGAAGTCTTACTCAAGTGCTGATTTAAAATATAGTTTTTGTGAATAGAATACATGTTTTAAAAGCGAAGAATTTGCGGCAATATTTAAAAAAATATACCTCCTATCAACCAATATGTCAGAAACCTCCACAAAACTAAGAACTTTTCATTCTAGTAACTAGTAGCTTACAGTAATTATAATATAAAATTCTCTATCATTAATCACTGCTTAGTCGTTGATTTTAATTGAATTTAAAAGTAAATTTAATATTTTATAAATTAGAAAATAAAATATGTTGGCTGTTGATTTTAGTTTCCAAGGAAACTACAAGTTGGCTAAAAAGACTGTCTTCCTTCCTTAAATTAAATTTAATTAATTTATCGCTTGCAGACAGCAGCCGCTTAAGAGGAAATGAAGAAAAATTATATAAAAAGTAAGTTATGGAAAGCCAAGAGCGTTTTATTAGTGCGCTTTTTGCAAAAATGTTCATTAGCATTTTGTTTAGCAGCATTTGTTGCTGCCGGGGGTTACAGTGTGCTGAAGAAATTTGCATAGTTTGTTTGCCTGTTGCTCTTTTTTGCCTCTTTTTCTACAGTGTTGTCGTTTTTGATGAGCTTGTTGTGTCGTTGCAACCTGTTACAAAAAAAATGGAGAACAAGGATGAAGCAAAGTGCAACGGCAACAAAAGGTGTAATCGCCTAGGGTGGACCAGAATGTAGCTGGCTGGTTGTTATCATCTGTCTTTCATGAGCAATTTTTTCTGCAAACCCGTTAACAGAGGTATTCTGCGTTTTGCTTTGAAACGGACAAAAGACTTTTTGGCAGATTATTCTTGGCACAACTACATAAGTTTTTCCCAAAAAGTAAAGATAGAGACCTAACTTTTGGAGTTTTTTTATTACTTGAAGCAATTTAAAACAATAATTCTAAAAGTCGAACTCATATTAAGTCTATTTATTAATAGTATCTAACATATACATTCTTTACGAAATTTTGAAACCATCCCATTAATCTGGCAATGAATTTGTACATAGGTGTTATGGGATTAGAATGGTATAACATTCCTGTAAAAATGTATCAAAATGTTGTGTCCTTTATGTCTGCAGGAATCGAAAAAATCACAATAAAAAATAAAAAAAAAATCATATAAATTGCGCCCTAATCGTTGAGTAAAATACGGGAGCATAAGTAATAAAAGTTCAATATTTGTTATTATTCTGTCCAGCCAGAAAGAGCTGTATTTTAAGAATTTACCAAACGCTAAGCTAAGAATTAATTTCATAAATTAAAATATATATGAAAGCTAAGCCTTTTTTAAGCAAAATATGCTCACACCTATTATTCTGTGTATACATATGTACGTTTGCGAGAGGGGTATTGGGGTTAAACTGGTTTCAAAATTGATTCGTTCTCTGCAAAGATGATTTCAACTCACTCTTAACAAGCTAATTTCCTAACATTGCGTTTTAAACCACAACAAAGGAGAAGCAACAACAACAACTACAAAACACAAATCCAAGGCAAAAGGTTTACAAACTCATTTTCACAAATTTTCACACGCCAGAATTCAATTTAAGCAGCCGCCAGACATAAAAACTTCAAATAAAAGCGAAAGAAAATGAGTGGAAAAAATCAGTGACCCCTGAAAATAAATAATAATTACAATAGACGCTGTAGACCGTCGCCATCGTCGTCGTCGTCGCCGTTGACGTCGACGTCGCCGCTGTTGACGCTGCAGACGAAAAAATCTCACCATTAATTACAACAACAAAAAAGTCGAAGCGCTAATGTGACGTTTGTATGCGTGATATAGGCAGCTCCAGAGGTTGGAGAGATGTGTAGAGCAGGGCGAGGGGTGGGAGGGCTGGAGGGCTGGAGGCAGCTAAGCATGAGCAATGTGGAACAAACTTATTAAAATTATTGAGAGGGCGGTGGCAGGTGAGCGAGCCGGGGCCGCCTGCAATTGAAATGAAATGCGACACGCAAGCCAACAACAACAGCAACAACAACAACAGTAGCAGCAAAAACGAAAACAACAGGTGTGGGTAGCGTGTGTGAAAAAGTGAAGGTGTAGGTAGAGAAAAGAGGGGCTCGCAATAACTGTAGGATTTTTTCCTCTTCTGTGCATCTATTAATTAAATTAAAATTGCGCGTAAAATGCGGTTGGTAGGTACGATGGTCTACATTAGTATTTACACTAATCAAAATAATACAGTCTGATGAGAAAAAATGGAGTCGGTATAGACTGCTCTCCAATTTCTTACTAAACAGCTGAAGATTTCAAAGTCAAAGATATTTGAAATGTTAATAAAATATAGTCAATTCTATTTTTTACTCTACTTTTACACTTTGATTAGAATGTTAATGCATTTTATTAAAATAGAACCTTTGTGAATTGTAGAGCTGCAACGAACACTAAACATGTTCTTCTCCAGTAATAAGCTATGGCTTTTGTGACACCTTCCACATACCATGAAAAGGCGCCTTTGCTTTCATAAATTTTGTTACCACTCTGATATATATAGTTTGTTCCTTTCCTTCAGGAATTAAGCTCATAGGTCTATATATTTTGTATGTTAGCAAAATTAAATTAACAGATCTGCTTAAAGGCAAACAATATTTTATTCGTACAGCATCACCAGGAAATTTTTCTTATCATTAAAAAATGCTCTATTCCTTAAACTCTTAATAATTCATATTTAAAAGCTTTGTAAGACTAGTAGCTTTATAAACCTACCAAAATCAGCTTCAAAGCTATACATTTAGTATAAAATAATGTTGAAGGAGCTTTTAAGAAAGTATATTTCATATCTAAATCAAATGTGCATCATACCTCTGTATTTTATTTAATTAACTCGTGATTTAAAATTTAAAAAAAGTGCATCGATCTCACAGCTCGGAAACGACTTGGGAATGCACACCACTGTTCGTCATTATGGTGAGGTTGCTTCCCGTCTCGTCTGCTCTTAAATATGCATTTCCGCTTATCCATACATACATACATATGTGCAATCAAACAAGCACATTCACTCACACACATGTATACGTATATGTACATTTGTAGAAATGTATGTTCTTGCTGTTTTGTTGCTATTTAAATGTGTGCATGGAAATGCATGGGAAATGCATTTGTGGAATGTTGCCGCTGCAATTTCCTTGCCTTTTATTTTCCCAGCTTTGTTCTTGTTGTCGCAATTACTGACAGACT